GTAGCTTCTGGTAGAGAAGATGTCACGATTCAAAACCCTAGGAATCTTCGAGCCTTACGCGCTTAGATCACGATCTTGCTTCTTCTTTTTTTGTGCTAAACGATTTAAGTGCGGATTTTCCGTAAATTGTTTCTCTTGTTCGATAGATTCGTCTTTTGGATGGTTTGATTTCGTTTATTCTCTAGACTCGTTAACGAATATTGTTATAATCTTTGGCCGTTAGAACATCTGTGTTAGTGAACAAAATCAGGTATAATAGACTATTTAACTGGAGGAATTCTATAGTAAGTTCTAACTTAAGACATTCTTGGAGTCTGATGACTGAATGTACATCTCTTTCTTGGTTTCTTTGTAGCTATATGAAAGAGGGCATGAGGACTAGCGTTGAAGGGATTCTCCTGGTATGTATCTTTTCATTCCTTTTCGAGCTGTGAGATTATTGTGTGTTTTGCTGTTTTCGATTTACTATGCTTGTTATCCAATTCGTCTGTAGTTGTTTCCATGTTGTGTAATCATGCACTATCTTAAAACGGTGGAACAGCTATGTGGTTTATGAATTTTGTATGGCCATATTGTCATAGAGACATAACTACACTGAAGTGTCATTTTATTCGTAATATATTTTGGCGATCTCTGTGATATGCGTTCTCTACCTAATGTATCATTAGAAACGTGGCATAAATATTAAACTGTGTGATATTTGACTGGAGTCATCTACTTCCTTTCCTATTTGCCATCTCTAACTCAATTTTGTGTTATTGAGTCAAAAGAAGCTCTTATCAGATAAATGGATTAAACTACTTATTAATGTCTCAAGCTTTATGGATCCAGTGAACTTTTTAATCAAACTGCATATAGAGTCACATAAATAAGCTTTTAATTAGTCTTCTTGTTGTCTCGTTTCTTCAATTTTTGTATGCGCCCTTACCTTTCTAAGTTTCAAATCTGCTTCACACCCTCATCTCTTGACATTCTCTTTGGAAAATAAGATGTTGTTTTGACATCTTTAAGGTCAATCTCTTAAACCTATAACCCGCAGCTTCAGGTATCTCGTTGGTGCATAAGATTCAATGAATTATCTGTGTCTAATTCTAGTATTGTTACCACCTAATTTGATTTGAGATTGGTTCTATATCTCCAACCATATGATTCTTCTTGATACTTGATACTGGTCAACCTTTCAGGTACAAGAACACAATCATCCTCATATACTTCTCCTGCAAATTGGTAACACATTCTGCAAACTTCCAGGTGGACGCCTGAAGCCTGGAGAAAATGGTATACAGCAAACCATCTTTTATTAAGAATTTTTATACCGTTGTGGTTTTCTTTGTTGCTTCATTTTTGTGTGTGTACTATGTTGTGTCTTGCAGAAGTTGAAGGCCTGAAAAGAAAGTTGACCAGTAAGCTTGGAGGCAATTCGGCTGCTCTTGTACCTGACTGGAAGGTACTATCCTAGTTTCCTCTTTATATCTTTTGACTGATAGTGACCAGATCTTTTGGTATAGATAGACGCCTTCAAGAACTAGGGTTTGTGTGGCATTTGTTTGCTCTTTATGCAATTCAAAATAGAAGTCTTTTGTGTATCATACTTAACGGGCCTATAATGAGGGTGTCTTTGCTAGAGATTCATATGTATACTACATGAAGAAAAAAGACTGATTTGGTTATAAATATAGCTTTGTCCCTGATCCATTGGTGTGCTTCTCTTTTTCCCTATAACAGGTAGGAGAATGTGTTGCCACATGGTGGCGTCCAAACTTTGAAACCATGATGTACCCGTATTGCCCTCCTCACATCACGAAACCAAAGGTAATAAAAGAAAAACACACAATGTAGCTTCTCAACGTTCCTCTTTTATTCTTCTACTAAATAGTCTCGGTTTCTATCTCCGTTTGTGGAATGGCAGGAGTGCAAGAGACTCTTCATCGTTCACTTGTCTGAGAAAGAGTACTTTGCCGTGCCCAAAAACTTGAAGTTATTGGCCGTCCCATTGTTCGAACTCTATGACAACGTTCAGGTAATTTTAAAGAGATATATAGATTTCCAGATACTATAATTAACCTTTGGAAGTGTGTTTCCCCAAACTTGTAACCCTATTATTCGTTTCCTGTAACAGAGATATGGACCGGTTATATCGACCATTCCTCAACAGCTATCCAGATTCCATTTCAACATGATTAGTTCGTGATTCTACTTGGTGCTCAAGAACGAGAAACCTGTCTGAGTGTCAGATGATAAGTTAAGTAGGCATGGTAGAGAGCTTTTGCTACCGTTTTAGAGACGTGATTTTTGGATGATGCGTTTGGGTATTTTGCTGTATGGACTTGTTGGGTTTCTGTAGAACTGGTTCAGTCATATGTTTCAGCACAAAAAGACTATCGATCTCATTTCTAAAAGCAGACAAAAGTATTGTACTAACTGCTGTCCTCTTGTCTGACCGTTAGAAGGGATAGTTTTGTTTTAATGCTATTTGTGAACTAATTAGGTGCCTAAAATATTATGGTATTATAATTATAAAATAATATAAATTTTTGCATATATGAATCGTAAAAATGTTATATATTTGGCTATAAAATGAAAAATATAAATATAATATAAATTTTGTTAGTTATAAATTATGGTTTTTTATATATTTTATTATATATATCTAATATATTATGTATTTTTGTAAAACGCTTAGACCGTCTATTAAATTGTTTCGGTTCCGATTAGGCGTTCTAAGCATTAGGTATTGGGTCACCGTCCGCTTAGCGTCTAGCGCTTTCTTGAACATTGTTAAAATTTAAAACTACATGGACGGATCTATCACCCTTTACAAATACAAAAATTATTATACTGTAAGTTTATGTCCAGACCACAAGACGAATATTTGTTGATAGTTTATCTAAAAAAACGTATTTCATTGGCGATTATTTGGACGGAAAGTTAAATATTTATCGTCAAGACGACCAAGACAAGAATACACTTTTTTCCTCTCTTTCTCTCAAGTTTTTCTCTCTGTTCATCGTTTTCGACAAACTAATAGAGCCAACAAATAAAAAAACAAAAATCAGAGTATTGACAATTTAGCGACAGCCCATTTCGATCGGGACATAAAGGAGTTGAAATTGTAAAGTTAACAATATTCCTCAATAATCTTAGTATTGGTACACTTGTCATTGTAAAATGTGATACATTTTGTTCTGGTATCAAGAAAACAAAAACGGAGAGAAAAATTATACAAAAATTTCTTGCAGCAAATAGGAGCTCAACGTTGACTTCTCTAGAAATATATTTACAACATAATGTAGCCAACTTTAAATTTATATAATTCAAAGAAACCTCGCAGATAAATTTAAATATGATTTCAAGTTGACGACCAAAAAAAAAAAATGATTTCAAGTTCTTGGTCTCGCAAATACAATATGTCTGTAGGTTCTCAAAAAAAAAACAATCTGTCTACTTGATATAAATGTTTTATTTTATTAACAGATTGGATGATTCTCTACAATCATCGGTTCATTATTCACAATCATTTATCGAACCAGACAATTTATTCCAATTTTGGAAGTTTTGGTTTTTTTTTTAACCTACAATTTTATTATTATTCCATTAATAAGAATTATTACATCGACAATTTTATAACGGAAAAAATTTTCATCTTA